GCTGGAGTGCAGTGACACACTCACGGCCACCACAGCCTCAACCTTCTGGGCTCAGGTGATCCTTCTGCCTCAGCCTTCCAAGGAGCTGAAATTACAGGCATGCGCCACCACACTTGGCTAATTTTTTGATTTATTGTAGTGATGAGGTCTTGCCAAATTGCCCAGGCTGATCTCGAACCCATAGGCTTAGGCAATCCTCTTACCTCGGCCTCCCAAAGTTCTGGGATTATAGGTGTGAGCCACCATGCCCAGCCACCTGATGATTTTTTAGTGGCTCTTTCCATGTCGGTATGTATAGGTCTCCTTAATTTTTTTTTTTTTTTTTTTTTTTTTGAGTTGGAGTCTCACTTTGTCGCCCAGACTGGAGTGCAGTGGCCGCTCCCGGCCACCGCAGCCTCGACCTGCTGGGCTCTGGCGATCCTTCCACCTCAGCCTTTCAAGTAGCCAGAATTACAGGCATGCACTACCACGCCCAGCTGATTTTTTGATTTACTGTAGAGATGAGGTCTCGCTGCCCAGGCGGGTCTCGAACCCGCGGGCTCAGGCAATCCTCTCACCTCAGCCTCCCAAAGGCGTGGGATTACAGGCTGAGCCACCGAGCCCGGCTCCTTAATTCTTTTCTCTTCTCTTTTAGTTGGGGTCTCACTCTGTCACCCAGGCTGCCTCAGCCTCTTGAGTAGCTGGGACTATAGGTGTGTGCCACCAAGCCCAGCTAATTTGTCTTACTATTATTTTTTGTAGAGACAAGGTCTCTCTATATTGCCTAGGCTAGTCTCGAACTCCTGGGCTCAAACAATCCTTTTTCCTCAGCCTCCCAAAGTGCTAGGATTACAGGCATGAGCTACCATGACCAACTTTTCTTCATTCTTTTAAATGTATTTCACTGTATAGATATATACTATTCATACCCTATTTGGTAACTTAAGTAATTTTTGATTTTACATACAATTTATCAGTGAATATCCTTGCACAACTGTCTTTGTATATATGGAAGAGTATGACTGTATCAGTGCCCATTTTCTCACATACTAGCCGATAATGATTGTTACTAGTCTATTATTTTGAGTTTGTATTTCTTTTTTGGTGAGGTTGAACATTATTTCATTTTAAAAATCTGATTTTTTGTTTTTCTGCTTTTTAACATGATTCTTGCTGTCAGACATTTAAATAAATGATTGGATTGACAAACAGCATACCTTAAAAGGAAGTTTAAACTTTCTGCTAAGAGATTGTGTCTCACCATCCTCCCAACTAGCTAACTCCTGTTCCTTCAAAGTTCAGTTGAGGCATTATTTTCTCTAAGAATCTTTTCCTGCCTCCTGGATCTGATTTAGTTTTCCATTTTTTTGTCCTTCCACAGCACCTGGGGATGTCTCTTGGAGTACTTAATATTATAACTGTTGATTTACTCATTCTCCTCTTCTAGCCTATAAGCTCCTTGAAAACAAAGCTATTTTCCTATTATTTGAATCCTCTGTGCCTAAGCACTCAAATACTTATTAAATTAATAATGTTTTTATTCTTTTTTAGTACCAGGTGTTGCTGAATTTGCAGCTTCCTTCAAAAGCGTAAGTAATATTGTATTTACCTAATAAGTGGACACAAAGTTTTACTCCTGGGTAAAGGCTCATATTTTAATAATGACATAGCCTTCAAATCATTTTATGACTGCTGCTCTATAAGTCTATTTATATTATCCTCGTGTTAACTGATGATAATGCCTTTCTATGTCCAAATGCTCTATTCTGACATTGTGACCTTTACCTACTAACCTTTTTTCTCAGCTTGAAGGCTTTTTAAGGCAAGGCAGTTGAGATATTTAATGTAACTCCAGTATTATTTTTGTCCAAACTATAATTTTGAAGCTTTCCTCTTGTTTATGTGCTGTGCTATGGCCTTAACTTGCACTTCCTTAGAGGATTTAAAATTTCCCAGTGCTCCCTCAGAAACCTGAAGGAAGACATCCTTTAGATGCAGGGGTCCCCAGCCCCTGGGCTTCAGACCTGTACCAGTCTGTGGTCTGTTAGGTACCAGGCCGTACAGCAGGAGGTGAGCCGTGGGTGAGCAGAACTCTGTCTTCTGTCACATCAGTACGGCATTAGATTCTCATAGGAGTGTAAATCCTATTGTGAACTGTGCACATGAGGGATCTATGTTGCACGCTCCTTATGAGAATCTAATGCCTGATGATCTCTGCTCCTTTTGTTGGAAAAATTGTCTTTGACGAAACCGGTCCCTGATGCCAAAATGGTTGGGGACTGCTGCTTTAGAGCCACAGACTTTTCCATTACCAGGGCAGCAGGCATTGTGCTTGATGCTCTAAATAGAGTCACTTATATATTCTCACACCAGAAAAATATGACAATAATAATATTAACTAACAATTATTAGTATTTACCATGTGCCAGGCACTGTTTTAAGTACTTTATGTATGTTATTTAATCTTTACAAAACTATATGAGGTATAAGTACTATTATCATTCCCATATACGGAAGTAGGCCATATAGGTTAAGTAAGTTACCCAAAGTTCTAGGCTATAAGTGGCAGAACCAAACTTCAAACCTATTAGTCTGATTACTAGCATCCATACTCTTAACACCATACTTAAGAGCCATTTCAGCCCCGTGTTAAAAGCACAGACTGGCAGCAAAGCTTGAAAATTATATTATTTGCTAGTTAGTGATAGACCAGAATTTAAAAACAGGTCTAATTCCAAAGCCTGTGCTCTTTTAAATCATGCCATTGAGGATTGCAATAAACTGTAGCTGTATTTTACTGTATGCATAGCATTCCCTGCTCATTATTTAGAACTAATTAAATATTAATTAAGACCCCTCTGGGTCTGAGGCTTCCAGGTCCCATGAGAGTATTTGTTTAGGGTGAGACTGACTCTGTAGCCTCTTTCATTTGTTCAAGAGCTTAGGAGTGAACACTGGCCTGTGCTCCTTCAGTGTCCGGTAAGGCCTAAGCATAAGGAATATAGATAGATACCATACAGCTTTGGAGTCAGACACACCTGGATTTGAGTATTGACTCTGCTACTTAACTATCAGTGACTTGAGCAAGTTTCCTGAAAGTTTTGAGCCTAGTTTTCTCATCTGAAACTATGTCAGAATGCTTAGTATAGAATACCATAATGCATGTAAAACACTCTGCATAGTGCCTAGGACATAATAAACAATACAAGGTAGCTGTTGTTATTAGATCAGCTTTTACGTAGTAGATTAAGTAGACAATATGTGATTTAATTTTCTTTCATTCTCATTTGTACTTAGTTTTCAATTTAATTATATTTGGTTACAACTAAATATTTTAAGTTGTAAATATAAGTAAGTATGTGATTTTTAAAAAGCTTTAATAAAGTATGATTTTTTTAAAAATGTGTTAAATATCTACATCTTTTCCTTAGAAACATGACATACGTGTTATAAATTTTTTTTGGTAAAGATGGGAGTTTCACTATGTTGCCCAGGCTGGTCTCAAACTCCTGGTCTCAAGCTATCTTTCTATCTTGGCCTTTCAAAGTGCTGGGATTACAGGTGTAAGCCACCATGTCTGGCTCAGCATACATGTTAATATTTTGAGCTTTGTTTCTAGGGGTTCAGGGAAACACAGGACTTTAGGTTAGGAACCCCTGGTATAGTCTTTTTCCCTACCAGGGGTAAAAATGGTGGGTTTGACTTAAAGTGCTCTAGGGAAGGCAGTATAGAGTAGTGGTTTCCATATTCACACTACCTGGGCTTTGAACCCTGACTTTTCTGACTGTGTGAATTGAGTCAAGTGATTTATAATCTCCTTATACTTTGCCTTTTTTTAAGTTTGAAAAATTAGGATAACAATACCTACTTCAGAGGGTTGATTTGGAGGTGGATGACATAATGTTTGTAAGATGTTTTGTTTGTCACATAGTAATGAGTAATTTTAATTTTGAAAAAAGAGAAGGACTCAAAGATGATGCAATATTTCTCAACCCTACCCCTACCTGCATGACAGAGTCATCAGTGTGAAGCTGTGGACTCTTGAAATTACATATGTGGAGTCCCTTACTCTGTTCTCTCCACTGGGCCCTCCCCTACCCCTGATATTCTAAATCAATACATCTGGGGGGATGGCCAAGGCATTTATTTTTTTATTATTATTTTATTTTTTTGAGTTGGAGTCACCCTCTGTTGCCCAGGCTGGAGTGCAGTGGCACACTCATGGGCACCGCAGCCTCAACCTGATGGGCTCAGGTGATCCTTCCACCTCATCCTTCCAAGTAGCTGGAACTACAGGCATGTACCACTTACCCAGCCAATTTTCTGAGTTATTGTAGAGATGAGGTCTCACCAAGTTGCCCAAACTAGTCTTGAACCCCTGGGCTCAGGCAGTCCTCTCACCTCCACCTCCCAAAGTAGTGGGATTATCGGTATGAATCACCATGCCCGGCTTATTTATATATTTTTTAAATTACATAGATTATTCTTATGTGCAACTAGGATTGAAAACTACTGACCCAAAACTATTCTAAGAATGGGCTTGCTTTCATAGTTTACGTTTACTGTCAAAAATGAGAAAACTTAAAATTCCAAAGTTTTCTAAAACTTCTACACTAAAATGATGAAATCTCAATGATGACCACTCCAGTCTTTTATCACTTAAACTGAGGATTTTCTTATTCTTGACTCTTTGAATCTTCTCTGCCAGAGGATATTACTTACTAATTAGTGTTTCAAATAGTTCAGTTGGATGCTTTTGCCAGAACTGAACTTCAAGTAATTTCTTTTGTTGCTATACTAACTTGTTATGCATGAGTCAGTAATAGTGGTCACACCTAATTCTTCCAAGATCTTTTCCCTGAGACTGACTTCAAAGATGAACAGTATTATTTTGTAAGATGACTATTTGTATGTTTATGGACCTGGAGAAATCCGGTTTTTTGAAACCTACCAGTATTTTCAGACAACCTGAAGGCTGTGTGACATGCTATGTTTCTCATAAGAAGGAAGAATAGATCTCTTTATACTTTTTATGTATCTCAATGGATATATTCTTATTTTCTGACAGCCTATTACTAGCTCTCCACCCAAATGGATGGCTGAGATAGAACGTGATGACATAGACATGTTGAAAGGTAAGCGATGCTGGTGGCTGTTAACTTTTAACCAGATACTCGTGTTCTTCTACAAACTACCTTTCCAGTTTTTCTCTTACTATTTCCTTATAAGTATTCTTGGCTTCAGACTACCCACTCAACCCTTCTTATTTATAGTATTTCATGTCTAGAATGCCTTTCTCTAGCTTTTCCATGTGTAGAATCCTGCCAATTTAAGATTCAGACACAGTGAATTCTGCTGCTTCTAAATTTTAATATTAACTAAATTTTGTGTAACACAGCAAATAGCTATAATGTAAATTTTCTTATTTAATTCTCATAAAGGTCCTGTGAGTTAGATAAAATTATATTCAAGATTCAGAAGTTAACCAAGATATGTTAGTAAGAGTTAAAATTTAAACTCTGATCTTTTATTTTAAGTCATTTTTTTTCCATTATAACACAAGTGCCTTATTTAGGATTTACTGCCATGTATTGTCGTCAGTACTATTAAATGACAACCCCTTAGTGAGTTAAGATCTTTTTTTATTTCTTTCTATCTCATCAATTTCTTCCATAAAGAATACTATAAGTAGTGAATATTGTTGTTTGATAAATGATTTGGACCTCAATCACAAAGTGGAAATTTAAATTAAAAAACATTAATTTTCCATGATTTTGCTCTACTTTATTTATTTTATCATCCTTCTGGTGAGAAGATTCATGATGGTTGTGAAGCAATAGACTGAAATTAAAGTAAAAACGTGGGATTTTTGAGCTATTTAAGCAACTGAACAAATCAAGGAAGTCTGCTTATGCTAGGTATAGATAATGACTGTGGCATGATAAATAGGAGAAAAAAAATCTTTATATGATTTTTGAAGTAATTTATTGTTCTGCATGGAATTTATACAGATCCCTTCCTCCAACCATGGAAAAATTAAGTCTCAAGGGCATCTCTGGTTCATTGTTCTAATGTTACAGAACATTACATTTTTAGTGAAGGATCGTAGGATTATGTTTTATGCAAACTGACCTCTATCTTAAACTTAGAAGCAATTGGGTTTATCTAAATGAAAACCCAGGAAAGGAAGTTATTTTAAGTATATTGTCTTTTTACTTGGTAAACATTGACATTTTTATAGAAATTTGAAGGGAAAGCTTGGATTTATATTTAGTCCTTGTTTTCTAAACTTAGGGATATGGGAAATAGTAAATGGCTTTGTTGCTACTTTATTGTTAATTAAAATAATGGGGACTTAAAAATGGCAGTGGAGACAATGTTTATTTGTGAAGGCTTTTTTTTTCTTGCTGTGTAAGATCACAGGTTTCATATTTTAATAGTATATTCATTTTGTGTAATAGCCAAAATGAATATTATAAAAGGATCCTGGGATGAAACATTTAATTTGTTATTGTATATATGCTCTTTTCTCATTAAGTGGGTAAGCTCATCTGAGGCATTTTGTAGTGGTGGAAGAATTCCCTGTGTGTGTAAGATTTGGGAAGAAGGAATATGGATATGTTTTCTTTTTTATATATATTTTTTATTTTAAAGATGTGGGGTATAATTCAGGATGGATACGTTTTCCACTTACTGAGTGGCAATTCAACTTGAAAACTTTTGTGGTAAGAACCCTAACCCAAATGAGTTGTTACTAGAGAATAGCAAAAAGAAATGATATTGAAATAAGTGATTCTGTTTCAGAACTGGGGAGTCTCACCACGGCTAATTTGATGGAGAAGGTTCGAGGCCTACAGAACCTGGCCTACCAGCTGGGGCTGGATGAGTGTGAGTACCCAGATCATATTTGTTGATGGTTACATGCTGTGTGTTCCACAATGTGTTCTACTTACTAATTCAGAAAGTGTCTTTATTAGGGATATGTGTTCTGAAGGTAAGAAATTACTATAATCTAGAATTTGCCTTTTATGATAGAGGGTAATTGCTTTTATGATAGGTATAATTGCTGGATTTACTAGGTAACAAATTATTTTTCTCTGTACAGTAAACATATATTGGAACCCTTTTAGTTTTAAGTGATAAAATGTAGACTCAAACTAGCTTAAGCAGAAGAGAGACATTATTAGTTCACATAAATAAAAACTCCAGGGGTAGAAATAGATCCATGACTGTTTGTAATGTCATGGGGATGTACTGTTGTTTTTGCTTTTGTTTTGCACCTCATTGTTCTGCTTCACCCATGCATTAGTCTTTTATTCTTTGTTACTGCCTATATCTTTTTCTTTTTTTTTTTTATGAGTTGGAGTCTCACTCTGTTACCCAGACTGGAGTGCAGTGGCTGCTCTCGGCCACCACAGCCTTGACCTGCTGGGCTCCGGCGATCCTTCTGCCTCAGCCTTCCTAGTAGCTGGAAGTACAGGCACACGCTACCATGCCTGGCTCATTTTGATTTATTGTAGAGATGAGGTCTCAACAAGTAGCCCAGGTGGGTCTCAAACCCGCGGGCTCAGGCAATCCACTCACCTCAGCCTCCCAAAGGTGCAGGATTACAGGCTAAGCCACCGAGCCCGGCTATATCTTTTTCTTAACACTGAGGCAAGTGGCCAAAAGGAACTCCAGTTAATGTGTCTTTAAGTCTCACGATCCTAAAGGAAAGGCCATTTTTCCCGAATGTTCCAAAAGAAAGGTTCTGACTGTTCATCTCAGCAAATATATATCCATCCTTGAATCAGTCCGTTGGCCAGGTAGCGTGGAGAACTGATGAACCAGGCCTGGGTCCTGGATACAGTTGCAGGTTAGAGGGTTTGGTGTCTAACCCAAATCTCATAAAATGGGGAAGGGTAGGATTGGTTCCCCCTAAGTAATACTTTAAAATTTTTCATTTATGCCCATCTGCTCTTCATTCTTTTAGTGTAAAATTAGTTCTTTATAAATTGTATCCCTTTTTATACTACATCATTAGAAAATTGAAAAAGGAATTGTAGAAAATTCTCACTTCATAATTGAAAAAAGAGATACTGAGCCGGGCTCGATGACTCAGCCTGTAATCCGAGCGCTTTGGGAGGCTGAGGTGAGTGGATTGCCTGAGCCCGCAGGTTCGAGACCCGCCTGGGCAACTTGGTGAGACCCCATCTCTACAATAAATCAAAAAATTAGACAGGTGTGGTAGCGCGCGCCTGTAGTTCCAGCTACTTGGAAGGCTGAGGCAGAAGGATCACCGGAGCCCAGCAGGCCGAAGCTGCAGTGGCCGGGAGCAGCCACTGCACTCCAGTCTGGGTGACACAGTGAGGCTCCAACTCAAAAAAAAAGAAAGAAAGAAAAAAGAGATACTGAGCATAAATAGAGTGGTTAGAACCTTGTTCTCGAGTTAACTACTGAGACCTTCATAAATCCATTATTATTTTAGAGACAGGGTCTTGCTATTTTGCCTAAACTGGTCTTGAACTCCTTACCTCAAGGAATCCTGCCTTGGCCTCCCAAAGTGCTAGGATTGCAAAAGTGAGCCACCATACCAGCTTACAATTCTGAGAGTACTACTATAATTTATAACTTTCATTTATTTATTTATTTATTTATTGAGTTGGAGTCTCACTCTGTCGCCCAGACTGGAGTGCAGTGGCTGCTCCCAGCCACTGCAGCCTCGACCTGCTGGGCTCCGGCGATCCTTCCACCTCAGCCTTCCAAGTAGCCGGAATTACAGGCATGCGCTACCACACCCAGCTGATTTTTGGATTTATTATAGAGATGAGGTCTCGCTGCCCAGGCAGGTCTCAAACCCGCAGGCTCAGGCAATCCACTCACCTCAGCCTCCCAAAGGCACGGGATTACAGGCTGAGCCACCAAGCCCGGCTTTATAACTTTCTTTTAAAAATGTAGTTTTGGACCAGGCTAGTGGTGCCTGCTTGTAGTCCCAGTCCTTAGGGAGACTGAGGTGGAAGGATTGCTTGATCCCAGGTGTTCAAGGCTGCAGTGAGACCTCTTCTCTTTTAACAACAACAATAATAATAATAAATTGGTCAAGTGTGGTGACACACACCTATTATCCCAGCACTGTGGGAGGCTGAGGCAGGAGGATTGCTTAAGCCCAGGAGTTTGAGACCAGCTTGTTTTACTATAACAACCTCCTATAGTTACTTTATTTTTATTTTTTAATTTTTTTTGAGTTGAAGTCTCACTCTGTTGCCCAGGCTGGAGTGCAGTGGCAGGATCACAGCTACCGCAGCCTTGACCTGCTAGGCTCAGGTGATCCTTCCTCCTCAACCTTCCAAGTAGTTGGAACTACAGGCATGCGCCACCATGCCCAGCTAATTTTTTGATTTATTGTAGAGATGAGGTCTCGCCAGGTTGCCCAGGATGGTCTCGAACCCATGGGCACAGTCAATCCTCTCACCTCGGCCTGCCAAAATGCTGGGATTATAGGCGTGAGCCAACTGCGCCTGACCTTAAATTAACTTTTAAAATGAGATGTTGAATTTGGCAGTAATTTAAATCAGTACTGTAAACAAATCCACTATATGCTCTAAAGAAACATGAAAAACAACTTATGAAACTACGTATAGGAGTGTTCTAATCAATACAAAACATACATTTAAAAAAATCATCTTTGGCTGGGCTCACACCTATAATCCCAGCACTTTGGGAGGCCGAGGTGAGAGGATTGCCTGAGCCCACAGGTTTGAGACCAGTGTGGGCAACTTGGTGAGACCTCATCTCTACAATAAATTTTAAAAAATTAGCCGGGCATGGCGGTGCGTGCCTATAGTTCCAGCTACTTGGAAAACTGAGGCAGAAGGATCACCTGAGCCCAGCAGGTTGAGGCTGCAGTGGCCGGGAGCATACCTCTGCCCTCCAGGCTGGGTGACACAGTGAGACTTCAACTAAAAAAAAAAAAATCATCTTAAAATTATTTTTATTAGCTGGGCTCGGTGGCTAAGCCTGTAATCCCACACTTTGGGAGGCTGAGGTGAGTAGATTGCCTGAGCCCACAGGCTCGAGACCCACCTGGGCAACTTGGCAAGACCTCATCTCTACAATAAATCAAAAAAATTAGCTGGGTTTGGTAGCGTGCACCTGTAGTTCCAGCCACTTGGAAGGCTGAGGCAGAAGGATCACCGGAGCCCAGCAGGTCGAGGCTGCAGTGGCCGGGAGCCACCACTGCACTCCAGTCTGGGTGACAGAGTGAGACTCCAACTCAAAAAAAAAAATTATTTTTATTTATGGATATATTTATTCATTATTATTTCAGAGACAGGGTCTGGCTCTGTTGACCAGGCTGTAGTGCAATGGCGTGATCATGCTAACTGCATCTTCAAATTTCTGGGCTCAAGTGATCATCTTGCCTCAGCCTCCCAAGTAGCTGGGACTACAGGCACGTACCACCATACTCAGCTAATTTTTAAATTTTATGTAGAGATGGGAGTCTTGCTTTGTTGCTTTAAAATAACAACAGGACCTGAGCCCAGGGGTTCGAGACCAGCCTGGACAACTTGGCAAGTTATGATGTTTCCTCTAATTAGTTTTTTTTCCTGCCTTCCTACTACAAAAGCTAATAAAGTATTTAAAGCAAATTTCTGGCATCATATTGCCTTATCAACAAATAAATCCATATGTGTTTCCAAAAGTCAAGGTCTCCTTTTTTGTTCTTTTATTTTTTCTTTCTTTTCAGGAACACAGCCACAAAATGCAACTTTGTTTTGTTTTGTTTTGTTTTTTAGAGATGGGGTCTCGCTATGTTGCCTGGGCAGGACTCAAATCCCTGGCTTCAAGCGATTCTCCTGCCTCAGCCTCCTGAGTAGTTAGGACTACAAGCACACATCACCATGCCCAGATACTCCTTTATTTTTAAAATATAATTATTATTATGTTTTTATGACCAAAAATGTTTGCCATACATGTTTAATATCATCAAATAGCCAGTCAGGGTTCAAATTTCCCTGGCTGACTCATAATTGTCTATATACAGTTAACTTGTGAGTCAAGATCTAAGTAAGGTTCATATACTCTATTTGATTGATATATCTCTTTAATCTTTTTGTCTGTCATAGTTCCACACACATTTTATTTCCTCATGTCATTTATTAAGTCTAGTCATTTGTTCTGTAGACTTTTCAAATTCTTGCTTTGTTGATTATATCCTTGTGGTAGTGCTTAACATGTTCACCTGTTCCTTTTTATAGTTAGATCTAGATGCTCACATAGATACTGGTTTGATTTTTTAATTTTTATTTTGGCAAGAATATGTCATGGGTAGTATTATGTATATCCATCAGAGGGTTTATCATAGATGCTTATCTTTCTGTGATATTAAGATCAATAGTTGATAAAGGTTTTATCAGTCAGATCCATTCATTGTAAAATTCTTCATCAGCCTTACACCTAGAGTAGCAGACTTGGATCACAGTCTAGATCTATTCTATTATAGATTGCAAGATGATGATAATTCTAATTTTGTCATTCCTTCTCATTGGCTAGTACTTTTCTATAAAGGACTTTATCTTATCAACTATTTGGTTACCTTGAAAGCTGTTCTTATTGGAATGACAGGATAAATGATTCCTCTGTTTATTTATTTATTTTTGAGTGATAGCCTCACTCCGTCTCCCAGGCTGAAGGGCAGTGGCACACTCACGGCCACCCCAGCGTCGACCTCCTAGGCTCCTGTGATCCTTCTGCCTCAGCCTTCTAAGTAGCCAGAACTACAGGCGAACGCTACCACACCTGGCTAATTTTTTATTTTTTGTAGAGACGAACCCGTGGGCCCAGGCAATCCACTCACCTCGGCCTCCCAAAGTTCTGGGATTACAGGCTGAGCCTCTGAGCCTGATCCC